TTCCTAGGAGGGAATATTTTTATCTATAGCCGTACAATACAGGGCGATCCATAAATAAGATGTTGCGTTACACCTCAGACTTTTAAATGGAAATCCCCATTTTTTTAATTGTTAGATTTTCCATGAAGCTCTTAGTATCTGTTGTATAATAAAGTTTATACCTACCATCAATCGCTGTGGAGCTATTTGAGTTTATAGGCAATAAAATTCGACCAGCTCATACTGATAATAATAGAAACCACTGCAAAAGGATAATAATCATCGACACCAGCAGAACAGTCAGTGTCATCGTATCTCATAGAAAAACTTTGTTTTTCATTTCAAATTGTTAAGTTACCTACCTAGTTATAATGAATATCAAACAATGACTTATTCAATTACATTCTAAGTCCTTTAGATTACTCTCTTTAGGGGCATTTGAAAAGTAAAGTCTTTAGTACGAAGCCAGATTCCATTCAAGATATTCATCAGCGAGTTACGGCTGAATGTAGACAAATAACTCAAGACATGCTTGAAAATGTGAGGAATAGATTCGAACAAAATCTTTATTATTGCATGGAGGTAAATAGACACCACTTTCAGCACTTTGACCTACCTCTTTATAACAAATTAATTTTCACTTTAAATGTATTGTGCGGTAAACTGTAAGCTGTTTTTTGTTTTTTAGTACTCGGAGACTTGGTTTTAATTTTGAGATGAATTCTTGTTAGTATGAGAACTATATTGATTATTGTTTTTATGATATAATCCCTTATTATCACAATGTCTAGAATTTTATTATAAACTCAAATAGCTTCACAACGGTTGACGATAGGTAGAATCTGTGTTATACAAAAGTGACTAAAAACTACATGGAGATTCTAAAAATTAAAAAAATCGGGATTACATTAAAAAATCTACAGTGTTAACGGAATATTTTATTTTTGGATCACCCTGTATTGTACGTCTATAGATAAAAAGACGTCCCCATAGAAATAAAAACTGACCTGTCTGACTGTTTTTCCCAAAATAAACCAGGAGAGACACACAAAGGGGTGGGACCTTTTCGTTGGGCCACCCTGTATATCAAATGAAACAATCTATATAAAATAAAGGTTTCAAGTTGACTGATATTTGCTTCTGGGTCCTGCACATTTTATACTTAGTCCCAGTATAGTTGGCCAGTGACTCTTAGTAAAAAGCTTGTGGCAAATCTCCTTTCATATGGTGTGCAAGGGGCACACAAGGCAGAAGCAAAAGAGATAATCCACCTTCCGCCACTATAGATTCCAGAAATCAAGGCCTACCACCCCAGCAAGTATTGTTTTGGTCTCCATCTCCTTAACATCCTAGAGTCCAAAATGTTGGAGTCTAGTATCGTCTACCTCCCAGCTTGAACATGTAGAGTCTGGTTTCAACATTACCATCCGTAGTCAAACTGACTTGTTGAAGTATATGGCTGCTTCTTGCCGCGGTGCCTAGTTGGCAAACCAAAGCCACGTTAGGAGGCTGCCATATAATTTGGTAGGATAGTTTAACTACGGATGCTGGACACGTCGGAACGCTCTTAAAGTATATAATCTCCGTGAGCCCCCAGACATGTTCCATTATTCAACTTTCAACGCCGATTTGCTTTGATTACCACCCGGCTTATATGATCCGTCTTAATGGTGTGAAAATGCAATTAAACATTTTTATTCCTTCTGTGAATCAGCTAATATCAACAAATTGAAACTATAAGAAATAATACAGCACAAAGCACCATCTGTCATGCCAGAATCGAACACTGCGGAAAGCGCATGGCTGCTGTTAGTTGGGACTGTTAGGGATCACAGATCACGTTAAATACTCCAGTCACCACGTGACCGCTAAATAGCTGACGATTCTGGCTGTAAAGCAAATTTGGTTTACTTGCTACTACGTGAACATGATCTCAAGAGACAAGAGACCAAGCCTGGTCCATGCTAATGAGTAGCCAAGTAGCACGAAACATCGGTCCATGATTGTCTGTCTTGCTGGTCGGTCGGTCCAAAGCATCATTCATCATAGTCAGTAACAAGGATCAAAGTACATACTTCTACTGCTTTTGCTCACAGTTCTATCATCTATTTTGTATTTTTACTGTTATTTTTTTATAAGTGCGAGTGATTGCAGATAACTGTGGTGTTAAACGATTTCACAACATCGTACTTCTTACGTAATTTATAAAAACCTGCCACAAACCTAATAAAGGTAGAGGATATTTCCACTGGCAAGTGTTATTACAGTATGCACTACAACGACGCAGTGTTGGCAACAAACGATGCAATAAACATAATATATGCTTGGCCCCTTCTAATCTATTCGAATTAAATGACTAATATCATCAGACTAAAGACCAAATAGCAAACTGAGAGGTGATGGCTACTTGTGAGGTTATCATACTTAGTTCGTTGTCCTGTCATATGAGAGAAATAAGATTCCTTACAACGTATGATATCTGGCAACATCGTCCAAGTCGCGAGTCGGCCATTGTAAACTGAAGCGAGCGATGGCGGCCCGAAGAACCCTCAAGGGCCACTGAAGCGACCAAAGCTTTTCAATAACGATCGCCGCCGTCAAAGGAACTTGCTCAAAGCTGCCTGCCTGATTGGAACTATCTATTCAAATGGTAATTGTGTTGCCAGCTTTTGAAAGCACTGAGACTGGAGAAACAAACAATCTGCTTTGGTGCGGGAATACTAGAATGCTGCTACAAAATGGATAGGTACTTGTATCGAATATCGCCAGCCGGTATATATGGCCACAAACCATTATTCCAAACACGAAAATTTGTTAAAACCTGAATGCGACCTTAAGGGCTCGCTCAGACAGACGGCGTTCCGAGATCCGCGTTCTGCTTTCCACGTTCTTTGTAGCTAATAGATCTCTATAGAGTCGCACAGGCACATCTTAGTCAGACAGACTATAAAAATAGTTTAAAAAAAGTGATTTTGTAGATATAGCCTTTCTCCAGTTGGTGTCTTGTTTCTCTATTTTCTTTTTTATACAGGGTGGTCCATAAGTCCTTTGAAATTTCAAATTTGAATAAAATTTAACGGGTTAGCGTGAGCGGCGCGGGCGAGGTGGGGGCAGTATCTTCAGTGTCTGGGAATTCAGTCGCCATGGAGTGTTTCACTCTAGCGGATCGTGCTTTTTGTGTGCGCGCGTTTTATCAAAATAATGATTCGGCAACCATTGCGCGGCGTAAATATCGAGAATACCACAATTTACACAATTTTACAAAGTGTCCAACAGCTCAAACGATTAAGAACTGGGTTGCTAAGCTCGAAGAGACTGGTTCGACGTTAGATAAACAGCGGTGGGGTCGACCAAGGACAACTCGTATTGAAGAAAACATCAACATTGTGGCACAGTCTGTTCGTCAAAATCCTACCCAGTCTACTCGTAAGCATTCCAGTGCACTAAACGTACCCAGAACATCTTTACAGCGGATTTTAAGGAAAGATTTACGTCTGCACGCTTACAAAATTCAGTTAATGCAGGAATTAAAAGATAATGACGCTATTCAGAGACTAAACTTTGCGAATGAAATGTTGAATCGATTTTCTTCGCTCAATAATGTGTTGTTCTCGGACGAGGCTCACTTCCATTTAAACGGGCATGTAAATAAACAAAATTGCCGTTATTGGAGCCCCGAAAATCCAAGGCGTAAGCATCAGAAGCCCTTACACAGCCCTAAAGTTACAGTTTGGGCTGCTATGTCAGCGCATGGCATCGTAGGCCCTTATTTTTTTGAGGACGACAGAGGTCGCGCATTAACTGTTACTTCGGAGCGGTATGTAGCAATGATAGAAGAGTTTTTGACACCAGCATTGCAGAATTTTTCAGGCTATAATACGCAGACCTGGTCTCAACAGGACGGAGCAACTGCCCACACCTCCAACACTTCTATGCCCGTCGTCTGTCAACTTTTTCCCAGCAAAGAAATTTCTCGAAGAGGAGACATTTCCTGGCCACCACGTAGCCCAGATTTGACCCCAATGGACTTCTTTTTATGGGGCTACCTCAAGAGTAAAGTGTACGACACCACTCCGCGATCAGTTGATGTCCTGAAAGAAAATATCCGAACAGAAATGGCAAGCATTACAGTGTTGACTTGCCGCGCAGTCATCGACAATTTTAGACGTCATTTATATGAGTGCCGTGATCGTAATGGATTGCATTTAGACGATGTGATTTTTAAAACATAATTCCCATTCAATAAAGATGATAACAAAATATAATAATTCTTCATAATGTAACTAGTTTGGTTTTATTCCTTTTTTTCCAGCTCAAAGGACTTATGGGCCACCCTGTATAATCATGCAATTCATTAAAACTACTTAATGACATTCGAAAATAACTAAGAAATCTTTCTTCAACTTCAAGCAATGCATCTCTCCTGCAATTAATCGGATGCATCCAGTATCCTTTTTTGTTATTACACTCTTCGAAACTCCACAAAAGCAATGCTTCGTCTTATGGAGACGGGCTATCGAAACACACGTTTCACCTACAAGAAATCTTCGTAAAATGGAACGCAGTCTTCGTGACTGCCTCCTGTCTGTGTTAGAACTCGTAAAAGGAATTGAATTAGTTATTGTCCTGTATTTTATTATTGTTCAAATATGAATCTTTACCATTCACATTACGATGTTGTGTAACAATGGTAATTTGATGTTTCTTTGTTTACTGATCAAACAAAAAAAATGCGTGGTAGCAAATATGGCCACTGTATTGGCCATATCTACGGCACTGAATTACTGACACTTTTTTGTCTTAGACCATGTCACGCTATAAAGTATAAAGTAATTGGTCAGCGGTAAGATCGAAATCTATAGATAGATACCTACTTCATTAGTTTAACACTTTTTACTAGCTTGAAATAAATTATCGATTGTGGTTTGTGTAGAATCTCAAATAATGTTCAGTTTTCTTTTTGATAATACTTTTGATTTTCTAGACGTGTAGCATTTTAAGTTTAAGTAAGCAAACCTTACCGTTTGTATCTCATTGTTAATTTTATTATCCTTAAATTAATATTATTTATTAAAGAAGAGCTTGTTCTTTATTGTACACGTTGTCGCCCAAAGATAAGTTCTCTATTACGACTTAATATCCATGTTTATTACAGTATATTCAGTAGTTATTTAAAAAATAGGCATATTTACCTATCCCGTCGGAAACATAGCTAATCTTCAATTTTTTTAAGCTGTTGGAAAAACGTTTCATCATTTAATGTCTTTGTATTATTTTGCCTCTATTATGAAGCTACATAGCCACTCTTCATGAGCAACTGCTATGACATGTTTTTCATCTTTAATATTATAAAAAAGTTCTCTTTCGCCTTCAAAATCAACATGACCTTGATTTGTCATTGTGAAGGTCGTAGTCAAAGACAACTAAGCAACTTTACTGTCCCCTTGAGTGAACTTTTTTTAATTGTCTGGAAACTTGTGCTAATAATTTCAGTGTTAACGTATAAAAATAAGCTTGCCCTTGTATTGATCTTGTAAGGAACATGACAAGAATGACATGACACCTTCCTAAATGGTCTTCGGATAGAACACTGACTCCAGTATAACAAGTTACACCACTGTTATGTCCTGAAAAAATCGGAAAAGTCCTGGGTTCGATGCTATTAAAAGCGAGCATTTGAAAATTATAGCCGAGGACATAACAGAACCACTCACTTACCTAATCAACAAATGCTTTGAATCTGGCATATATCCCTCAATTTTAAAAAAAGGTAATATAATACCGATACATAAATCAGGAACAAAAACAGGTGTTAACAACTATAGACCAATATCAATAATATCCAGTGTAGCAAAGGTTTTTGAAAAAGTTTTATCTACTAGAATGATTCGATACCTCACAAAATTCAAAATTTTAAGTGAAAATCAATATGGATTTACAGAAGGGAAGGCTACATCGGACGCAATAACTAAAATTGTAAATCAAATACATCAAAATATTGATAACAGAATCCCTTCAATCTGCATTCTTGTTGATTTAAAGAAAGCTTTCGACACAGTTAATCACAAATTATTATTAGAAGCATTGGAGAGAATTGGTTTCAGAGGAAACGCGTACTCACTGATCGAAAGTTATTTGTCAAATCGCCCACAATCTGTGCAGATATCAGGATCATTTAGTAAAGAAATGTATATTAAGTGTGGTGTCCCACAAGGAACTGTCTTAGGTCCGCTGTTATTCAATACATATTTAAATGATATTTTCCAAATTAGTTGTGTTGGCAAAATAACTAGTTTTGCAGATGATACTGCAATATTATATGAAGGCACTGACTGGTCTGATCTGAAAAATGTAATTGAAAATGATTTTATCAAAATTATTCGGTGGTTTAACAGTAGAAAATTAAGCATTAACTACTCTAAAACACATTTTTTACCATTTGGATCTTATGCTAGACATCTGCCAAATTACACAAATTTCTCCTTCAATATTAATGATCAAAAAATGCAAATTAATAGAGTGCCCAACATAAAATACCTTGGAGTGGTCTTGGATCCTCACTTACGATGGGACATCCATGTCAATTATATTTTAAAGAAAGTTAGATTTGTATCCTACAAAATTAAATACCTTGGGAATATATTGACAGAAAAATATCTTCGAACATTATACCATGCACTGATTGAGCCTCATCTTACATATGGTATATTAGCATGGGGAGCTGCATGTTCCTCACATATCTATAATTTAGATGTTTTTCAAAAAAGTATTCTAAAAATGATATTTAAAAAACCGAAACTTTATCCCACTGAAAAATTATACGCAGATGTTCGAATGTATGATATAAGACAGCTTTATTTCTTACACAGTATCACTCACTACCATAAATTTGTAAACACCGACCAAAAAATTAAACATAATCATTATACCAGGTAAAAAATTCGTGGCACAGTAGTTCCTCAACCGCATAAATCTATAATGCAGCGATCATATCTCTATTTAGCGCCTAAATTTTATGAAATTATACGTAAAGACTTAAAAGATTTACGTTTCGGAAATTGTTTCAAAAGAAATTTAAAAAAGTGGCTACTTTCTATATCTAGGACTGAAATTCATAAACTCATAAATACGAACATCAACTAAATACATAATCTACTGTAGCTAATTTTTGTCCTTTTTTTGTCATTTGCATTCTACAGTTTCAACTTAAATTTATTGGTCCATGTACAGGCGATGCCTTCTATTGGGCCTGTTTTGATATTATATTTATTTACTCATATTGTTTGTAATCTCTGTACATTGAGTGAATAAATATTATTATTATTATTATTATTATTATTATTATATTATTATTTGGTCTGACGACCAAAATCCGCACATTCACCAATGTTGCTTATCGGGCAAAGTACCTTGCCGTATTTCTCAGGAATTAATCATGGGATTGCTTGGCTTTCATGAGAACTTATGCTCAGGAAAGCGAGAAATACACCACAGACAAATCGACGAGGCCTCATCTTCCTGACAGAAACGATACGGGAAGATATAAAGCTCCTTATCGATGCACATGTTAACGTTTTAAGGATTAACCCATAAATCAAATGATCAAATTTGTCCAAACGAGGTCATCCCGTTTCTATGGATGACCAGCTCTACAAAAGAACCGTTTATTTCACCGAGAACTTGATGTGGCACACACATCTCGTCAATAGCGGCATCTGCTGGGAAAAAGCTGGGTTATTTGTTTAGGGCTAACAAGTACTTTTCTCCATATGGTCTCCTCACTCTGTACAAGGCCCAGGTAAGATCTAGCCTCGGGTATTGCTCACATGTTTGGGGTGCTACCATGTCCATGCTCAGTGCTTTTTAGAGAGCACTCCTCCATGATGCTGCCGCATGATGTGTCTGCTAGACAGGCCCGCCTGACATCGGCTTCCCTTCCTACCAATGTCGAACTTCGTACATCCAGCACTGACCGATACGACCACTCCTTTGACTCTAGGGTATCGAAATTATGGAAGAGTCTACAAGAGGGGGATTTTTCCAGTCCTACTCGTACTAACCTTAAGCAGTTCAAAAATCGGGTTAACAATGTTTGTTTGGGAGCCTCATAGCAGCCGCGGTGCCTGGCATGTGTCAACACAATGCCTTGAACATAAACATTTCAGGCATTTCTACGAATTGTGACCATATGCAGAGACTGTCTTAAAGGAGTCCGCCCTGTTTGAAATTCAATTAACTATTTAAAGTCAAAATTTTAGTTTTCATAAAACGAAATTATTCTGTCTATTCTCTGACCTTTGAGCATAAGCACAGCGGCTTGTCGCACACAGCAACAGCTTCAACGGCGGCCTTGCAGAGATTATCCGTGTAGGCTTGATAGCGATATTGGGAGGCGGTTAGCGTCTGGCTGTTGTCGAATTACCGCCCCCCAACAGCCCCCATCCCCCATCGTTCCGTCGTCAACCCCCCATCGGCGGCATGGCACCAGCCACCGCAGCGCATTGTTTCAGCGGTGAGCGGACAAATGGAAATGCGGTTAACACGTTCGCCACCGCATAAATGACAACGGTGCCGGCGTAGCGTAACATGGCGACCTCAACTCGCTCTCTGTGTTTATTGATTTCACTACTGCATCAAAGCATGGTGATACTGAGGACCGTCTTCGAAGAGGTATCTACCTTAGAGCCGTATCGTCAGTCGTTCCCACAATTGTAGGACGCCTTTATGGCCTCCTTTATTTTCATAGTTTTCTACTGTTTCATGTCAGCGCTCTATTTTGAGGTTATGTCACAAATATATTTGCATCAGACTGTTCACGCTTCTGATCTATATCATCTGTTTCATCAGCCTAAAATTTCCTACAATTCAAAGAGAAAACATAAGGAGAGCGCTGAGCCTGACACGGAGCATTAGTATTCTAGACATACATACTTCAGCCTTTCTAAATGAGAGGAAAGTCTATGAAAATCAAGGCGGCCGTAAAGGCATCGTACAGTGGTAGGAACGACGATACGGCCCTTAGTGCCTTCTTATAAGCTGCCAATGTCGTTACTAGTCATTACAAGCTGGAATAGTTAAGTACTAAAAACTTCTATGCGAAATTATGATAATGTCAAAAATTACTTACTGCTATCTAGTATATCATCCAGTTTTAGATTCTATACCCATGGAACGTTTGCAAAAAATACAAATTTCCTGTTGTAGATTAATTTATAGCCTACGAAAATACGACCACATTAGCTAGTATTTTGAAAAACAGCATTGGTTAAATATAACAAAACTATTTATGTTTCACTTATTATGTCTTGTTCTAGATACATGATTTCCTCCATTTTCGAAAGACAAGCTAGTATTTCGGGGTCTAAACATTTAAAGAATATTCGTTCTGTAAAAATATGTTAACCATGCATCTTCACAAGACATCATTCTTCCATAAGCGTTCTACCTGTAGATCCATTAAACAAACAAGTTAAGAAAATTTCAAGATAATGATCACAACTCATTTGTCCGAATCATGAACGAACTATGCAGGTCCTTTCAAATCAAAATTTTGATGTATAGATCGATTTATATAATATTTATATAATACTACATCTAGTACTGTACTATAGTAATAATAATAATGTTTATTGTCACAAAATACAGGTAAATATTAAATATTGTGCATAATAAACATAAAGCACCCGAAAAAGTTTGCACTTGTGTTTGGATTTGTTAAAAATAAAAACTAAAAGTACAGTGTATGAAAAAAAACATTAATACTGTATAAATTGGTGAATTGAATTATTATGGTGATGTTAGGAAAAATATTCAGACAATTATAACTAAAGTAAAAGTATGGATGTTAGTGTAAGTAAAATATTATTGATTTCGATAATGATATTTCATATCTACAATTTTGTGGATGGGGCACCTCGGTTGCTGTAAAATCTATTTTTTAGTTCTTTTTTAAATGATCTATTTGATTTAATTACTTTTAATGACTCTGGTATGAAGTTATAGAATTTTGTTCGCAAGAAAAACAGAGATCGTTGTGTAATGGTTTTTGATG